CGAAGAAATGGGTTAACTATTGTGCTTCAGATTTAGTTAATAACGTTAATATAGTATTGTATAATATATTTAATACGTTCTTTATTATTTTTGTTTACTGCGTTTTAGATATACATAATTATATCATTATTTTACATAATTTAACTATGATTTATGATATGATATTAGTTTAAAATGCACTTGATCACAAACAAAGCCACCGTTGAGCAAATTCGTACCTATACTTCCCTACCCATACTTCAGAATATTTAATAACTTTTGATGGAATGAACTGATTTTAATGAACTAAAGACTAAATGTAACCCGAAGATACACTTTATAATTTCCTTAACAATTCTTATGATATAAATTAGTACTTTATACGTGATACGTTAACAAACAAACAGACAGACAGACAGACAGAAAATTCTAAAAATGGTAGAAATGTATTTAATTACTTATTTTTAGTACCCCTCAATCACTTTTATTACAAAAATATAAAATGTACAGACATCTGCTATTTACAGTTTTATTATATGTATAGATAGATTAGGTAGGTACTCTGAAATCGCAACTAAACATGTATTATTTAATGCAGTTAGGCAAGTTACTTACTCTGGTTTTATTTTTATGTTGCTCATGTTTGGGGTTCCATATAACTGATTCATTGTGAGAATCAATCAATGAACAATGAATCAATATTTCACTCCATAATTATTAAATCGTAATGTGTTAGTATGCATATAAGTAACATTAAAAATATATTATATTGAATTATATATTTTTTTCATAATATATAATATTTATTTATATATATACATGCGTATATATATATGGGTGTGTGTGTATGTGTGTGTGTATGTATATATTTGTATTGTATATGTATTTTTATGTAAGTGCACACTTTGACTACCTCTATTTCCTTCAACTACCCTTCAATAGGCCTGCTGGAAGAAATTTCATCATGAAATAGGCAGTGCCTTTGTACATAATTATGTTTTTACCATTTTCCTATCGAATTATGTGTGTACATAAACTGTTAAATAAATAAATAAATATTTCCTCATTAGTCCATGTCGCCATGTTGAAACAATTTTATTAAGCCACTACAGTCTACTTCGACGCGTAACTATGAACTGAACACTCGGCCGTGTGATCGCTGTTTGTGGCTTGCGCCAAATTTCTTTGATTTGTGCACGGAAAACCGACACTATACGGCTTATGGGCGAGTGTTGGCCGCAAACGCCAAATACACACAAAACGGCCCAGTACACGTTGGCCGAATGCACTCGGCGAGCGCGCTCGGCCAACGTGTACTGGAACCATAAGATTGACGTTCTGTTTAGCTTGCTAAATTTTTATACATAGGTATTTATTTAGGTAGGCGAAGTGTAGGGCGTCCCCCCACGAGATGGAGTGACGACCTGGTAAGACATGCAGGAAGTCGATGGATGCAGGTGGCTCAGGACCGTGCTTTGTGGCATTCTTTGGGGGAGGCCTATGTTCAGCAGTGGACTTGTGAAGGGCTGTAATGATGATGATGATTTATTTATAGTTATGCCACTGTTATTTATCTATGGTTCTGTTCTGAGCAGCTGAGTGTTCTGTATAGTGCCACCAACTTATCTGTGAACTGACAGCTTGGCGCTTCTGCGCTGAAGTGTTGCCAGTTCGGGAATATTCCCATCTAAGGGTCTTAATATATTCCTACATAGAGTCCACATACTAGGGTAATAAATTAGTCACGGAATAAAAAGACTAGAACACAGATTTAACAGATATATGTCCAAGAACAAGAAGAAACAAAATATCATAATTGAACAATTTAAACTTTAATTAAATGATATGCCTTTATGCCTTTTTTACCGGGCGTTGTAATTTGCGTTCCTGTGGTTTATGCGGTTTCCGGTTCTATAACTATTTTGGAAATGAATCCTTGACTAACATCTGAAAAAGAAATGAATTGCATTAACCAATCCATTTATCGGAAATACGAAAGGAAGGAACAAAACATAGCAATACTGGTCAGTATTGCTATGTTTTGTTTCTTCTTGTAGCAGCTGATACTCTTTTATAGACCTGATTGAAAGACATTATCGGTGCTTACCCTCGAGCTTCTTGCTCACAAAAGTTTAATACTTATAAAATAATGTTTCGGGCATCACTTTTAATGGTTTTCGGCATTTTTTATTTTTATATAAACTCTCAAAACAATGACGTATCGAGTGACATTTGATTAAATGGCGGCTGTAGTTCACAATTTTTCCGCAGCTGTCAGTTCACAGATAAGTTGGTGGGACTATAATTTGTGGTTCTGTGATCACTACCATAGATAATATACTATAGGTTGCTACATATATATTTATCTATGATATACTATCACAGAGTACCTTTATATATAAATATACTATATAGGATAGGGTAATCAGTAATCACTACGTTTTACTTTACATTTCCTAATTTCCTATTTCTATTTCAAGTTGTAGTTGCAGTTGCAGATTGCAGTGCGCCATTAAACGAATTATTACTTGTAACAAATAATAATATAATACGGCCGACGTATCTTGGCGAGTCTGAATATAGGCTCTGCGAAGTTTAGCGCATGAACACTCGTGAAGAAAACTGTTATTGTCATTTTTTTATATATACCAATGTACAAATAAAATTTCCCTAATACAGTGACCAAAAATATCAAAACACTTTGGAGACATTATAAATTAAAGATTCAATTTTGATACCTCACCTTTCGATAGGGGCAGATTTTATCACAAACACATACAATATTATTTACATTTAATACTTTTTATTTATTTACACTTATTATTATTTAATCACTGTCGCTGAGGGGGGAAATTCCTAACATAAAGTCGTCGGCCCCTTGTGTACCATGTGAGGTACTTGGCATAGGTTCATCTTCGTAATCGTCGCTCTCACTTTCAGACTCACTTTCTGAATCTGAAGCTGTATTAATGATGAATAATTGATCCGTCATTTCGTCAATAATATGGTCGCTCTTCCTATAGTCATGTTCGACCTCTTGCACTTTTCTGCATAAAGCACTCCATTCATTCTGACCCATTAAATTTACTTTTTCTTGTATGAGCTCCATTGTCCGGGTTACGTTCCAGTCGACGTTTTTAGCGGCTACGTGCCCTTTAATGGCAGCCCACACCATCTCGATGGGGTTTAAATCGGGATGATATGGGGGTAAACGAAGGACATCGTGGTTGTTTTGTTTAAACATTTCATCTATTACGTATTTTTTATTCACGTCTTTGTTTTTTTTTATTAGATCGTAAAGTTGTGGTTTACGCATGTCCTTTTCATATGGTATACCCTTTTCTAATAACCACGATTCCATTTTTGCCTTCTTGTCATTAGATGTAGGGGCAGGATCCATTAATTTGTTGTGGTACGGAGCATTATCGATAACCACCACCGAGTTAGGGCTCAAATTTGGAATCAGTTGGGTCCGTAACCATTTCTCATAATTTTTGAAATTCATGTCATCATGATAGTCTCCGGTTTTGCTGCCAGATTTGAACATTAGTAGCGCGTTCGGAACAAACCCTGCTTCTGACCCAGCGTGTACCATCACTATCCGCTGACCTTTTGATATCGGGCGCTTTAGTCCTTGAGCGGAACCATCTGACCACGCCTTACCTTTTGTATGTGATGAGTGGGCATACGACTCGTCAGTGAATACAATTGGTCGCCCTTCGTCCCTGTATTTTTTCATTGCCTTCAAGTACAAGATCCTTTTCAGGCGAATGTCGGTCTTCTCTATAAGAACCATTCTATTGGTTTCGGTCTTTCGCCACTTGAAACCCAAGTTTTTGATAATTGTCTTTAAGCTCGTTTTACCACCTTGAAAATTTATATCCCGTTTGAGTTTCGCTAGTAATTTGTTTATCGTCGGCATTTCTTTTTCAGTTTTGTGGAAGTTGTGTATGCATCTTTTTACTACTCCCTGGTCAAAATTATCCATATCAGTAATAGGTTTTGATCTAGACCTTTTTTTACCAGGCGTGCGGAATACTGAAAGTAAGCCCGAAATATTGCCTTCAGTTGCGATCCGCTGTACTGTGCGTTGGGACACACCAGTTGCGTTAGCAACTCTTAAATAAACTTTATCGACATCTTTTACGCCTTCTTCTTTTTCTTTTTTCATATATTGCGTTAAATCGTAAATAATTTTTCTCGCCTGGCGATTTAACACACTGTTATGTTTTGGTGGCATGTTTGGCGAATAATATAAGTGCTAACTGACACTTGCAAATAAAACAAATAAAACAAATAAAACAAACAAAACAAACTTAACACTATTAATAAAAACAAACAACAATAACAACGAAAACTTTTGTAACCGACTGTGCTCAAGACAGAGATAGCGACACGAACACGACACCAATGCTAACGTGTGACTGAGAAATATTACCGTGTACCGAGCATTGCCGAATAAGCACGAAGCTTTACGAAGTAACCAGAAAGGGATGTCCAACACGCGTGCCTGAGGGTGTTGTTTAATCGATTTTTATTCAAATCGATTAAAATTAAGACATAAAAATATATTTATTTGCAATTTATAAGGAGGTTCTAAATTTTCTCAAATAGTCGTTACTCAAGAAGACGTTAATAGATAATTGATATTTAAGTACATTATGTCTTTCAGCTGAGAAAATAATATGTTTTTAGTTTTTTTTTTTTATTTAAGTCGAAATCTTGTTTATTATCAACAAAATTCACTATATTTGTAAATCTATTTCGTTTAATATCTTATATAAACAAAAATCAATAACTTCTAAATAAAACTAATCGATTGCGATATTTTATGACTAAAGGGTCGATTGTGTTTACTTATGGTCAATCTCTAGCCTAGACCACCGCCCCCCGTACGTCGCCTCATGCCACCATTTTGTTCCTTAAAAAAGCTATTGCGCAACCTTCTGCGCGAAGGTCGGACTCGCCAAGATACGTCGGCCGTATTGTACGTACCTGATTGCAGGTCATTTAATGATAACATGTTTTACAAATGTGTGATACTTACCTTTGTTTTTACATGTATATTGTTTGCATCCGTAAGTACTAGATCTAATTATTCATTGCAGTAAGATATAAAAAATTGATATAAGCAAAATGTAGCAATATGTTATTTAATTAATTTGTACCCCATCATTACTTTTTAAGTCCACTGCTTAATTTTGTTAAATGACCCCAACATTGTTTTCCTTTAAGAGTAGGGTCGTTGCGCTGGTTTTCGGCTTTTTAATGGAGTTGTCAACTTTAATGTATTAGAACAAATAATTGCCATTTTGACGGCCTGGTGCTGTTAATTTGTAGCTTATATAATGTAGTTTTCATTTTAATAATTCATTGATGTTACAAGAAAAAATTCTAATTTATAATAATTTTTGATGTGGGAAATATGTAAAATACTAGTCTTCAGCCCCAAATTTTAAATTTCGGCCTACAAGAGTTTTCGTTTTCGGCCACTGCATTAGATAGTATAGGAAAGGTTACCTTAACTTAAAATGTTTTTGTAGAATTATAATAAAATGTTGTGGCGTTAAATATGGCAATTAAATCTTCTCATTTATTTTTTACATCCTCATATTTTAGTTCAACAAAATCTATACATCTCAAATCCATTTGGTGCAAAGTCACATCCAATATTTTTTTCAATATCTTCTGTATCGCTTATTAAAATATCATAACATAAGCTTCAGCAGTGGTCACGGGGGGGACTGAGGTGTTTGACGTCCCGATGTCATAGTTAGCCTGGCTACCTTTAGTTTTTTAATATTAATTTTTGGTTTGATTTATGCAGAATGAGCTTACAGTATCTTGAAGTCTAGCAGTGGTATACATGGGTTTGGATTTAATTTTATTAATTATAGGATCCCAAGCAGATGGCAGCACCCATCCATCTTCTCTATTGAAATTAGGATGTTTTTTAATTTCAATAGCCTCGCGAATCATCCTTGGTAGGAATTGGTGTTTTTTACGAGGATATGTGGTCTATCAAATCGTTAAAATAATTGTTTGCAAACAGAAAGATCTATAAAAACCTGCGTTTAGCAAACAAAAAGATCTATAAAAACCCATGTCAAAGAACTCCGCAGTCTGCAGAAGTCTGCAGTTTGTGAACATGTTCAAGATCGTCTCCGCCGCGACATTAGATTTTTTTTTTAATTTTTATAATAATTTAAACTAGTTAAACAACTTTAGTTATGTATATAGTTGATGGGATCTCTCTTTCTCAACCACAAAAAAACAAAAAAAATTGCTATTCCCAGTAGTAGTCTATAAAAAACCTACCAGACACTTGTTAAACTTCTTTAAATTACAGGGGCAGTCATATGAAGATAAAAGATGCATGTGTGTGTGTCCAAGCCCAGCAGCTGTTCTAAACAACACAGCAGGATCTGATCGCAAACTTTACATTGGAAATGTGCCACCAAATAAATGGTAATCTATGAAAATGCTTATCATAGGAATTGCCTTTTAAAAATTACCAGTATTATAATCAAACTACAAATTATATTCTTCTGAGAGTGACACGCCAAACATTACTCCCCTTTTTATACCAACCAGCTTATACCAACATAAACAGATCTGTATATGAGAAAGATCATACCTTCGATAGTCGCCACTTTCTGAGGTGGCTATCACATTAATTTTGAACATTACATTATATATTTTTTATATTGGAGTGATAGATTATAACAAAACAAGTATACAATTAACATAATTTATATTAGATTATTTACATTTAATGTTGAGCTGTTTAAGACAGTGAATATAAAGCATTCATTCAGTTTTAAATAAAAAGCTATCTTTAACATGTAAACTCAAAAGAGAATGACTGGTTTTTTGCTTGTTGTCTATAGAAATATTATTAACAGTATTATTTTTATTTAAAAAAAAAAAAACAGCAACTGTGATGGAGTTATTCTGCCCCGAGTTGGAGAAATAATTAAAGGTCGTGAACAAGAATTCTGCCCTCGCTGTGAGTGCAAGTATGAGAGTAGAAACACCACCATAATTAAGGTAATAATAAAATTTGGCACTTAAACTTAATAATAATTATCTTTACATGTATATATAGGATAAAGTCTAAGACTTTAGCACTTGCACAGATGGTTAGTCTCTGTTGAAACCCCAAAATTCGGTTTGGAGAACATTACTATTATTATAGCATGAAGAGCTTAAATTGTTAACTTGAATACACTCAAGTGTTTGAAATGAAACTATTCTATGTTTGTAAGTTAAAATGTATCAAATTTGTAATACAATAAATTTCGTTAAAATTACCCATGCTATTTTCAGGTAAAACAGATTCTTTTTTACTTAGCTTTTTCTTTAATACACATATAGAAGAAAATTGGATTATAGTCTATTTTTAAATTTTGAAAACTTTTTTTCACTGAATTCTATTCAAAATGAAAATGAAAACAATTAAATTTTTTTATATACAATATTTTTTAAATAACTCATTTTCATTCCTAAGAATTATTAATAAAATTTAATTGTCTATTACAGGTGGTGGTCATAATAGTAATATGGGTGATAATGCTTTTAGTGGTCTATATGGGATTTCTTATCTGTTTGGATCCACTCATAAATAAAAGAGCTAAGGCTTCTTATCAAGAGCATACTAATGAGGATGTAAGTGTTCTTATACCACATATTATATTTTTTATGTGCCTAAAAATCGTGCAGTAAAATTGCTACCAAGTAAACTAAAAAAAAAAGGTATATTTAAAAGCTTTATTGTAGACAATTACAATTGTCACACCTATCTTTGAACCTAGTACTTACTAGATATTAAATGAATGGTTCATGAATATCAACAATGAATTACTTACGAAACTGCATTGAGCGTGTTTAGTATTATTAAGTCAGTTAAAAAACCATCTAGGACTCATAACCATGTATGACCAAAAAGTTTGAAGTCGAAAAAAATTATATTTCGTAATGGCGAGAAATATATTTGTACTACAACTTGTTCGTGACACTCACAGCACCGATTGTAGTACATCACTATTTACATGGTACAACCCTATTATAACCTTATATAAAGCTGTCAACTCGACATTTCTCTCTCTTCTATTGGCGATGCGTGTGCAGTACAGACGCAATTATACATAATTTGTAAGGTTTATAATTTAGATAATATACTTGCTCTCTTCCATTGGCGAGGCGTGTGCATTACAGACGTAATTATACATAATTTGTAAAGTTTATAATCTATATAATATATTCGCTCTCTTCTGTTGGCAAGGCGTGTGTAGTACAGACGCAATTATACATACTTTGTACAATTTATAAAATATACAATAAAACAATTAAATTAAATGTTTTAACGTATATATTTAATGTATTATTTAACGTATAATACAACCACAACTGGGGTAGGACCCAAACATTGTATTGCACACGGCTCGCCAATAGAAGAGAGAGAAATGTCGATTTGACAGCTTTATATAAGGTTACAATAGGGTTGCACCAAAAATGTTTGGATCCTGCCCCAGTTGTGGTGGTTGTATTACGTTAAAACAACTAATTTAATTGTTTTATTGTATATTTTATAAATTGTACAAAGTATGTATAATTGCGTCTGTACTACACACGGCTCGCCAATAGAAGAGAGCGAATATATTATATAGATTATAAACTTTACAAATTATGTATAATTGCGTCTGTACTGCACACGGCTCGCCAACAGAAGAGAGAGAAATGTCGAGTTGACAGCTTTTTATAAGGTTACTATAGGGTTGTACCATGTAAATAGTGATGTACTACAAACGGTGCTGTGAGTGTCACGAACACAACTAACGCCTGGCATACTGGCATCTAATACAAGCGAGCATACAGATCACATGATGCTAAGGCTGAGATCTATAGGCCATACTTTGACTTTGCTCAGACTTTACTTACGAAAACCTTAGCTGAGTATGTGCTTAGCATAATCTTTTATTCTGAATTTATAGTAATATCGGACTAAGATTAAGCTAAGCTTATTCTAAGGCCCAGACAGTAAAAAAAATAATGGATGCTTCATTCTACGCATTATGTACTTGACTTTACTGTATAAAATGAAAAAAAAAATATTTAACGAAATAAGTTTTAAATTATATTAATAGAAAATGGAATAATGCTATTTAAAACTACCTATTCATCGTAAATAATTAAAGTAACATAATAGCAACAATTTAAAACTAATACGGTGGTTTTGGATAATATCCTGAGTTTCACGTAACTCGCCGATTTCATTTACTTAGGGTTTGCTAAGCGCGCACTCAGCATGACTTCGAAGTTAGCTCTATAAATACCGACGTTGTCTTAGCTCGAAAGTAAAGTCTGAGCAAAGTCAAAGTTCGGTCTATAGATCTCGGCCTTAGTTGATTCTGCGGCCCATAGACATTTACATCTATCTTTGTATAAGAATCAAAATGCAGCTGAGGTCTTAAATGGAATGCTTTGTGACCAATAAAACGAGGTGGTTCTCTAAACTTCTCAATTAACTTCTATAATATTCACAATCAGTAATAAAATATTTACTCATTATTGAACTAACAAAATACATTATGTAACAGGATGAAAGCACCATCAGTGGACCTTCGCAGCAACTTGGAGCACGAGGCAATGTCTTGAACCGTGTTACCCATCAACAAGACAAGTGGAAGAGACAGGTGCGCGAACAACGTCGCAACATATATGACAGACATACTATGCTTAACTAGCAACTATAAACTTCACGAATTCTATTGAAGTTCAACTATGGACCGAATACATAATTCATTTACGCATTTGTATGATCAAAAAGTTACTGTTAATGTCTTTTCCGGTCACTTTCATATAATCAAAGATTGCAAAAAAGCACATGCGTGTGATATATCTTTGCATAATTAATAAGAGGCATCTAGAACATTTACAAATTAATATGAATGCCATTTGCGAATCTATATGCATATAAGTTCTTTTGTTTAACCGATTCGTTGCGACACCAATTTTCGACAAATTTTAGATGTGGCGGCTTAATTATTTTGTGACACGCCTGTCGTGTCAAGAGCCATTTGCCTATTGTGCCATCAGCCATGTGTAAAAATAATGTTCTTTTTTATACTTTTTCACTTGTTTAGACCTGATTAAGTTTAATTGACATCAAACATCAGTTGCAAATGGAAGGATACTTGTTTTTAATGGCTAACTACGTATTTTCCTTGAAATAGAGAGTAAGTGACTTTTTTGTGCAGAAATTACACACCTTTTGTACTATTTTTATTGTTTTATAAAAAATATCATTTATATAAGTAGGCAGCTAAATCACCCTGAAAACCCTTGGTTTTTATTTAATTAATTTTTCACTAAATAATAACGTTTGGAAAATTTAAAATTTATTAATCAACTTTTTTTATGCATGAACGCGTTCGAACAGTTTCAAGCAAAAATAATCCTTATACTATATCACAAGAGCACATGGAACTTCGTAGGTCGTTTCGGCCATATAATAGTAAAATTAAGACAAACGCATTGGTTTTTTTTAACGGGAGACTTGTTATCCACAAACTTGTTTAAAACTTGAGTTTGTGAGCGATCGTATTGAGTGCTATTATTTGTTACTTATTAGAGTATTTTTCCACAAAATGATTTAAAAAACCCACACAAAAAAGAGTACCATCTACAAGTTAAAAAAGGTTGTCCACCCCTAAAAATTTCAAATTCTTAAAATATCCAGAAACGAAGCTGTAGGCATGAATTACTTGCAAAATAATGAATATTTTGTTTTGGATAAAACGCAATTTGAGCGATTTTTAAATGACACGACTCGCGTGTTATAGAAACAGGCACACGCCACAGAAATATAATCGATAGCACGCCAGGTGTGCCATCCGCACAGAATCGGTTAATCCAAGTTATTTCCAACAATTCTATCTTTTATGATATAATTTGTTTATGATTCTATAGAGTTATTATAGTTTGTATAAAAAAAGCAAAACTATGTAGTTCACACTAGAATACATTTAAAAATTAAGCATTATAAATACACTTCCTCGTATCATTTAAAGTTACAGTTATAGCAGTTGTGAGTAGGGCAGAGGGGAGCAGATGTGAACATTTTTTAAACTTTGTGTCATATATAAAAATTCTTTAGTTCTTACCATTTCACAGTTCCGCAATGCTTAAGTGACCAATATGCCATAAAATCGCAGCATCGTATGAAGAAGAATATTTAAGTTATAGCCGCAATATCAGTTGTAGTAGCAGTAGTCAAATGTTCAAATCTGCCCCGCTCCTGGGGGGCTTTGAAGACATTTAAAGGCATATGGGGCAGTTTTGAACTATCATTAAATAAATGAAATTAAAAGGCTTGTCATACTTTTTATTACTTTTATTAATAGACTTAACACTAGAAACGATTTAGATCAAATATCAGTTATTATATTGTACTTTATTAATTAATTTTATGAGATCTATAATAAGAAACCTATATAAATTTTCCAAATAAACAAGATCACGAACAAAACAAAAAACAATTTTTGAATTTAACAGATTAGCCTAATTTAAACTTAGAGGTTAAATTAAAAAAAAAACATGGACGCAGTATGTGATGTACCAGCAACTGGAATTGGGGGAGGCAGTTTACGTACGACATCTGGAAAACTCACGTAGCACTTGTACTCCTTCTCAGGAAAGAAAATTTATATAAGCCATCTTTCCGTTTAAAAAATGTAACAGTCGAAGCATGATCGTGCTTTTCCACAACTTGTCCTACGAATACCAATGACCTTTTATTATTCACAGATGAAAATTGCGCTAAAATGAAGTCTCTATGATGTCGCAGTCAAGTTCTTCTTCATAGTCTTCATCCGCACAGCTATCAGTATCTTCATTCTCTTCACAATCTATTGTCGCTTCGTTTCTGACTGTAAATACATTTCTGAGTCAGTTTCATCTGTAGAAAAAGTTTACTTTTGGTTTTCTTCCGCTTTGATATTTTCGAACGAGTTTGTGACTCCAAACAACTAAGTCTAAAATCCCTTTTCTTTTGAGCCTGTGATTTTTCTAGCCTTGACTGGCGTTCGACGTTAGTTTTTTGTACCTCATCTTTTTTTTCCCTTCTTTCTGCCGGTATTTTGGTTGATGTTTTTCGATGCATTGCTTTAGGAAATGGCTTAACATGTTCTGGTGTTATTATATTTTTAACCTTATTCATTCTTATGATTGATGAAGTTAAGGAAGCTAGAATATGAGAACATGATAGTGAAGATGCACAATCAGCAGAAACAAAAGAAGCTTCTGAAACAGTTGTATTGCCAGGTAAGGAATCTGAAGGTGTTAAAGAAGTCACATTTACAGCTGCTACGATTGATTCAGGTAGCACAGTGTTAAGTGAACATATGGCAGTACAATGAAGCAGGCACAGTTAAAGATTCCGATGCAGCTATAGCAGGTAAAGTTGACGTTTCCGAAAGTGAATTAAAACAAGTGACTCCCAAAACATCATCATGACGATATTAACATTCTGACCTCGACAACTATCAGTAACAACGATAAGTACGGTTATAGAATGTGGAATAAATGCCTCAATGTAGTGTTCAATGACAGAAGCCAGTTCATGTGCTCCTTTTTTCCATCAGATTCTGACCAGCAATACATTTGCTTTTTTCCCAGAGTATACTTACATAACATGTAACCATAACCATCTTTAATAAAATACTTCTCCAACACTAAGGTCTGGGCATTTTGTTTAAAATCAAAACAAAGTAACTAAACAGATGCATCCGATTCACTTTTATTTTGAGATAAATCTAAGTTGTCATAGAACTTGTTCTTGTGGCACTGAAATTTTCTTTTTCAATCATAACTTTAACCTCTGTACACTTTCTGTAAATATCTGGTGTTGCCAAATGAATAGTTTTAGTTGGCTTGATAAATTTTTCCGTAAAATAATACGAACAAGGGCTATTTGCTTTATTCATGTCGATATTTATTATCTATTTTAGTCTGATATTTAGCTTTAGCAAGTAATGGATTTATAACAAAATCGTTAGCTAGTTGGGAGGAAAAAAAATCAATAGAAATTAGATTACGTCCTATGCTCTTAACACTATTTTTTTAAATTCCCTGAATACTATTTTGGTAAAGAAATTGACCCACTTTAGTTGGCTTAATTGTTGTTCCCGAGAAGGGCTCCAATGACCGTTTCATAATTTGAACAATGAAAGGTGCACTGTCATTATTATTGTAACGTTTCTTTTCTTCAGATAAAGGATGAATATATATATATTCTGTACGGCTGCTGAAGGAAGAGATGACACGTTTTCTTGGGTTCTAAATTTAAGGACGATATATTATAAGCTTTGCGTTTCATAGGATGAACAGTATCGGTCTGATAAAATGTATCAGAAGGATTGGAATTAAGAAAAAAGTCTGGTGAAGATCCAGATTTTCTGAGGATCTGAATCCTGTTCAATCCCTTCCATCCTCAGTAATACTTAACAAAGTTTTTGTAGTTTGTCTTTATATCATTAGAGTCACTATTATAAAATTTAGAAAAATAATAAACCTACCTTTTTGACATGCTTCACGACATGTTTCACAAATTTTACTATTATCTATCCTGTTCCCTCCCTAAACCACCACCTATCGCTGTTTCTTTCTCATGCTGTGCTTGGGTCGCGCAGAGGCCCGCACTTACTTCAGTACTCTATATCATCCGACAAGTAATTGCCCCGGTCAGACCTACGACAAGACCCGAAATATCAATTTTTTTCCCCTTGGGGGGAAAATTGGTCTATTTCGGCTCTGTGTCTACGGCCTGACCTCTGAGATATGTCTTAAATCTGACGGCATGTTAGTTATCAGCACACAGCGTACTGTGTTAAAAAATTAATAAAGTAGAAACAATTAAATTACTGGATAGATTTTAGAAGCTGATATAAAAGAAGTAATTTTTAGAGATAACTATAGTTTTATTCTTGCTAAAGGATATCAATAGGTACAAATAAAGCTATTTTAGATTTTTAACATAAATCTTATGGTATATCACACATGGAAATTCTAATCAAATTGACATTAGCTCAGTCTTCTCCTTTATTATAATAATAATAATAATGAAATAAAAACAAAATAACTTCTTAATAAAATTAACAGATCAGATAAACAAACGTCTGAATATCTAGTTAGTAATAATAATCCGTATACATAGGTATAGGTACAATAATTAACAGTGAGTATAAAATCAATTTCAAAAACAAAATAAATGAGATCTTACATATTACAATGGCACAAAAAAATTCATGTTCTTATTATTAGTATTAGCCTCACTGGTTGTAGACTTATCAATCTCTCTATAATCTTTAAAAAAGTTGTTTGGGCCTTGCCAATTTCCTCTCTTCAATACTTTCTAGTGGCAGACAATTGTTAAATCTGTAAGTGGCCATTGCGGATCGGGTACTACCTGCACCTACTTCAATTCCAGCTGACAATAAGGCTGTTTGCACGCATCCAGCTATTACAGAACGAGAGGCCGGACCTGTTTTTCTTCTTCTTCGTCTTCACAAATAAGTATAGAATTACCTGACTATTGGTATGCCGCCTTGAATGTGATATGTCAATGTATTTCTTAAGCCAGTTTACAATATTCCATAGTTCCTGATCATTTTTCACTAGTTTCCACCCTGATTGTATATTTTGCAACTTCTCCGTCTTCGACCCGTATTGTGGCCAGAAATTAACTTCATTTCTGACTGTTCCAGGGAATCGGCATCTATTCTAAGAACGGTCAAGTCATATACTCTCCTTCCAGATGATAAAAGCAGTAGTATCGCTAAATGTCTGGAGACTTGAAAAAGGTTGCTTGGCCTGGAGGATTATGGTGTATCCAGGTTAATAATTTATTTAAGTCCCATATTTTCGCTCGTAAGGTCTGAGGATTTATATTTGAGATTCCTTTAAGGGTATATTTTATTAGCGGGTTGTTAGATATTTTGTCAGAATTAAGAGTTGACTCGAGAATGTTGCTATTGTTGATTTGTGCAGATAGATAGTTCGATACGACAGGTTTTTCTTATAATATAAGTAACAAAGGTATTGTGCTACTTCTGTGGGATTCGGGTAATTTATTGAAACTTTTCCATCCCCATCCCATAGGCATCAGCTCTTCCATGCTGCCGAGTAAGTGCCCAGAGATAATTTGCGCCATGAATTCTCTAGAATTTGTTTTTCTTTGTTTGACAAATTTTTCACTAAATCTGTCCACTCCGTACTTGCTGTTCTAGGAGGCTGATTGGTTTGAAGGTCTATCAAATGTTCGACTATGTTCCGTATTGTGAACGGTTTACAAATCTTTTCTTGAGTATCGGACTTTCAAACAGACTTTCTCCCATCTGGGAACTATCAATATGAAGGTCCCTCGACATTGGTTGAGGTGTTTTAGGATTCTGGGTATTAACGGTGAAGGGGGAAATATCCATCCTAGTTTGTAGTCCCACTTCCTTGTGAATGCGTTCACAAATTATTTCTGTCAGCATGGATATAGCGTATCGTATTTTATGACTACTGCCGATTTCTGTGTTGCGAATAGGTCGACGCATGGAGTGCCCCATTTTCTGAAAATCGTTTTCAATATCACGTTTGATAGGTGCGAGTCTGGTAAGCTTTTGGCCCCTGGGTAGGTGATCAGATATTACGTTATAGTGACCTGCAATATGTTCTATTCGTATGTCTATATTCTTACGTAATGCCATAGTCAAGATGGCGTCTGCAAGTTTTAGGAGTGATACCGATTTGGTTCCACCCTGGTTCTTTATGTATGCCACCACCGTTTTGTTGTCGCATTGTATAAGGATACTTTTGTTCTGTAGTTGGTCAAAATTTTGTAAACAACAAACATTTCTTTCTTGTCTATGTGCCATTTCTTTTTGGAGGTATTCCATAGTCCTGAGGTCAGTTCGTCTTCTAACTCTGCTCTCCAACCCATATTTAAGGCGTCGGTGACTAGATGGATTTCCGGTTCTTTCAGAATTGTCTTTAAATTTTGTTTACCAACCACCATTGCAACTCTTGAATATTTTCTGGCTTTATTTTGAAGTGTAGGTTGGGCATAGATTCTGGTAACCGGTTCACGGATCATTGCATCTTTCAACAGTGTAGTCAAGCTAGCGGTATTATGAACGAAGCTAATTCCATTTGCCCAAAATCGACTTTGCTTGTTGCCAACTTTATTTTTCGCTTTTTATGATTTTTAGGATGGATTTTTCTCTAGTGATTGTATTTTTTGTACAGGTAGGCTTTTTAAATTCAATTTTGTATTCCAGTTTATTCCGAAGAACGTTATTTCTTTTGTTGGTTTAACACTGACTTTTCCTAGTTTATTCTGAAGCCCAGATTGTAAGTGGCTTTATGAATACTGACACCTCATTTCTCAGAAGCCGTGAGTTTTGATTCACTATTAAAAAATCGTCGAGGTACACGACTAATCGTATGTTATGTTTTCTGAGCAACATGGCAACCCAGTCTATTATCTTTGCAAATATTTAAGGCGCGGAACTCAGGCCAAAAGGAAGCGCCGTTAGTGCGTAGGTTGAATTGCGGTAGTGTAGTGCTAGGTTACGCCAGTGTCATTTTGCTATTGGTTTATGAAGATAGGTCTGTGATAGGTCTATTTTGCCATGTAATCTCCTAGGGAGTGTTGTAGTTTGATTTCCTTTTCTGTATACATATGGTTCGATAGTATGCGACGAGGGGCCGGAGCAATTTTAGAGACACCATGTGTTTTAATTGTCTTATGTAATTTGTCTTCGTCCCATACATGAGTACCCGATGGTCGAATGTCATTGAGAACCGACCCCTAGAAATTATTCTTCCCTCATACAGTTTTCACCGAGACTCAATTACTTCGGCACGTTTGCCACAAGTGTATTGAAGCAAGTCGTCGGATATTAAGCAGAATTCACTTTCTGACGCTGGCATCTTCTTTAGTGTTTCTGTGGACTTTGGGTGGTTCCACTACTTTTTTTAGGGCTTGCTGAAGTTTCAGCCGCTGTACCAAAAGTCCATGAATTGTGGTACCAAACGCGGAGTCACATTTCCCCGTCAGATACTTTAGCTCCGAGGACAATGAAAAACTGGTGAGGCTTGAGGTTTTTCTGGCGTAGCGAATCTTATTCCATGTTGGTTCCCCAAGCCTTTGACATTTAAGACGTTTTTTCTCCAGAATTAGATTTGCTCTGGATATGGCAAGCTCACTCTCGTTTGTTGATGGCGAGAATATGTCCCAATTATTATTGGTCCCATTGGGGTCTCCATCGAGTAAAACCAGTACCGGGCTGGGATCTCGAATTGAGCTCGAATTATTGAGTTTATTCTCATTATTGTTTGTGCTCATCATTTCATATAAATTTTGTATCATGGCCTTCATACGGTCTAATCAGGAGTCGGTAGCATTTCTTTTTGATGAAAAGGAAGGTGAGTAGAGTCTATGATGACGAATAAAAGTGGTCACTTGCTGGTTGAACTGAGTTTTCTTCCGATAGAGACGATGGAAGTATGGGTCGCTTTCGCTTTATGTGTTTGATTGGGTTATTTCGACTTTCAGAATTAGATCTAGAGTAGATTTGAACTCTATTTTTATGTGACTCAACATCTGTTGTCAATGTGTCTGAGATTATTCTCTGGAAGAAACAGACGCTCTTATTGTCTCTACTGCCCTTTTGAATATATCTGCCTGCGCAGAAGACTGCGTGGGTCTTCGTGTGTTTTGCTGTTACGTGGTTTGTGTTAGTCATGAGGGTCCTGCAGATATCCCAGTCTAATAGCTTCAGCTTCATGTTTTTGTAGGCTCGTCGATTGCTTTCGCTTCAGGATAGTAGGCTTTAACCAGCACCACTGGTGTGATTGCGAAACGTATTTTATTCAGGATCGTGTGGTCCATCTTCCTGCCGAGGAGTTCCTCCTTGGACCAATCGATGACTTTCCAGTCTCTCCAACTAATGGGGAGACTTTCTTCGATGATGGATTTAACTTCTAAAAGTTCTTCCCCTTCTTCATCATAATTTTGCGTGAACAGTTCACCCAGTGTAACGAAATTTTGCGAAGCCGCCATCTGTCGATTGGAAAGGAAAAACACCCTTAAATAATTGGCGATCATCGGAAAATACCCTAAGTAATGCCAAGAGGGTAAATAGTTGGTCGAGTCAGTATGAGATCAGTTTCATGATCTGGACGGATAAACCTTTGGACCCGGTTGGGTCAGAATCCGAACCCAGTCGGATCAAACTCCCACGCCCGGTCGCGCCAGATTTTCTGTCCGATCGTATAAAAGTTCGGAGCCGGTCAGCCCAGCTTCCGTGTCAGGTCGGGCCACTCACGTTAATTTACATGTGATTTGAGACTATAACGTCTGGGCTTTAACCCGAGATCGGAGTCTAATTCGAGATTATGTTTCTATAAATCTGGTTACAAACCGAGATAGATAGGAACTAAAACACTCTTTGCTCACGTATTTATACGAGACTAGCTTTTTCCCTCGACTTCGTCCGCGTAGAAGAAAAAAGTTCTAATAGGATTCTTTAATGGTTTTTTACGTTATTAATTATGTTATAACATATCAATTATTATGTTAAAATGTTTGAATACTTCAATACAATCTTTATTATAGTGTAGGGATTTAAAGGTTAAATATACATGAAATTCAAATTAGATTTTGTTATATTTTATGAACACGAAGCTCGGCCCTTGATCTAGTGAAAGTGACACGGGCGTATTATCTTTTTACAACGAAATCGAAATACTACACCCACTGCAGTATTTCTTTGTAAACAATATTTTTTGTTTTTCCTTCGGGTGCTAGAATCACCAGGCTACTCTGGGCACTACTAGTAAAGTCTGCCGGCAATCGCATGCTAACAATACAGTAAGTCCTCCCATTTGACTATTATTATTCCTAATATCTTGTAAAGATCTATTTATGGTTTCGAAACCCCTTTTATGAGCCATAGTACTCTCATCCCAAACAATTTATTTCGTTTTGCGGAGTACTCCTGCCATATTACTTTGTTTGGATATATTACAGACTGGGGTTTGGTTTTGTTTCAAATCGAGAGGAAGTTTAAACGCAGAGTGTGCAGTTTTACCTCCTTCTTCCCCCAGTAAAATAAGAAGGCAGCACCACTTTTTGACCCAGCTGATCAGGTTCAACGTCCTGTCTCCCTATCGCATGTTGCAATTGTATATAAATCTCCGCTCTAAGCTGCGTCTGATTGTTCCTAATATAACTCAATCTTTCAGTCTCGATTTCCGCAAACATGTCAACTAAAAACTGGCTAAACAACATTACCTTCTCCTTTCCTAATCATTATACGGTAAGAATAAAAACTTGCAGCAGATACCAGGGGTATAGAAATGGAGTATCAATCCTCGCCGTAGCATAACAAAAGTGGGTACTGTAATGCGATGCATATATGATATGAGCGATGGATTTCAGTTATTCGATGCAATGTGTTATCATGGCTCTCAATTACAATATCCCGCTTAGTAAATTGCTGTCCAACAAAAACTAAAGCAACTTCATTTGACGTAGTTTGATTATACCGTCCACTGTGGCCATTTGTAGGTTTTCTTTCAGAAGAACTTTAAATGTATTTGGCGTAGCAGATACTTTGTCCAGGGCTAGCTTCAACTTTATTTTTTTTTTAGCT